AGGTTTTTGTTTTTTTTTTTTTTTTTTTTTTTTTTTTTTTTTGTTACTATTGTTAGTTTCATTTTCTTAATCCCCAGATAAACTGAAAAAAATACAGAAAAAAATGAAGATTTATATGAAGAAATAATTACTGACCAAGAGATGAGAAGGGTGGTTGAAAGGAGAGGCCTTTTGACACTGCAACTCTTTCTATTCTCCTTTGGCCAATAGCTATGGCAGATTATAGTGTTTCCAATGATTTGAGCCATTATTAAACAGATCAAACCTGCGACTCCCAATTTGAATGCTTCACTTTCAGGCAGAAAGCAGAATCTGCCGTTCAATTTCAGGTCCTTTTTCTACCACATATTTCGATTTCGATGATTCAGGAAATTTTTGTATGAAAAATCAATACTGTAAATGAGAAAGAAAGTGAAAGAAGAAACTTACACTTGTTCTGTTGAATTCAGCAGCCATACATGACGCGAAGGAGGCGAGGGTGAGGGTTGCAACAATGGAAAACCCTATCACGAAGAAGCTGGATGGTGGCTTTTCCATGGCGGCCAGAAGATCGAAGAAGTGGGACTGAGTTTAAATCAAGTCATGGTATTTGAAAGGGAAAGGCTCTTCGAGGTTAGTGGTGGAACAATTCATCATTTTCTCTCTTCACTTATGAATGCTGTGACTTTCCTTGAGTCAAATCCCGTGTTTTTCATCTTCATTTCATCACTGGTCAAATACAGACGAAGGGGAAAAGTTGAAGCAGATATTAGAATTTAAATTGATGGGTTTTCTTTTTTCTTAAATCTTTGGCCAATGGATTAAGGTTTAGTTGGTGGACTTGAACATTTGATAATGACACCCTTCCCCAGATACCCGTTTACCTGAAACTTATTAAACACAAGAAAAGGATTGAAATTCCACCACATGAAAAAGCCATTAGAAAAAGAAGGGGAGAGAGGGATTAGATAGAGCTGAGCTGACCTATTGTAGGAGGGAGTCAAGTTTTGTAGGGGACCCAGCTGACTGATGACTTTAAAGAACTGGTTTTCATGGGGGAATGGAATAATATGAAAGCCTTGGACATCTGATGCTCTTAGGAAGCTTCAACTTCAAATGTTTCTTTTTGGAAAGTTCCTCAAAGATGCCTCACCCTCCTCCTCTCCTTTTCCGCTCTCATTTATTTATCCTCTTTACAAATTTGTATTAGTAGTAGGTCAACACGCTAAGCTGGAGGAATTTGAAATATTGACCTTTTAGTCGAGAATTTATCTTATCCTATTGAACTATGTTCACGTTGACTATTTGAGATACTGAATAGGTAGCAAGAGCTACTTGGTGCTCTCACCCGCTTTCTTATATGTATTCAATGGAATGCATATCTTTTTTTTTTTATTTTTTTTTTTTATCTTTTGTCTCTTTCAAACCAATAAACCAAGATTATAATTTGAGAGTTAGAGTCCGATTTTCTGGTAAGAGAATTACTAATTTGGTATGAAACCAATAATCATCTATGAGTTATAGTAAATACCTATACCAATCATGAAAATGAAAATGAAAGAGATTGATTTATGATTTGGTTCTTTCATTTATGTTCTTAATAAACTAGTTAAACTAACCTATGTCTTGGACCTGAGGTTAACCTCCTGACTCAATTGAAGTAAAAAATAGAAAAAGTTTGACTCAAATTTTGATTTTGTTCTTATTCTAAAAAAAAAACAACCGGATATGAGTTTTCTTATGAAGAGACGCATCTTGATCAGGGTTAGAAGTTCCAAACCTTGTTTGTCTCTAGAATTTAAAATCTCTCTTCTTGTGACAAAGAAAGATTTTTCAATCCTCTTTAAAATAGATTCTGTTTATACAATCAAATGCCCTTTTGATTTCCGAGAAGATCTATCTGTTTAACCCATCTTAGTTTTGTCCAACCCATTATGAAGCACACCCTTCTTTATATTATTTTCAGAATGTTCATCCAAACCATAAAAATTCCCAAATAAATGAGCTCCAAACATGTCCTTTATCACAAACACCACCTGATATATTAACCCCAAATTACATCAATTTCTCTTCCTCTTAAGAGTTTCAAGGACGGATTGCGCAGTGCAATAAGCAATAGCCTGAACAGTAACCATTGGATTCACTCCCAAAGCAGTTGGAAAAACACTGGAATCAGCAATAAAGAGCCCTTCCACTTCCCATGTTTCCCCTCTCTGATCCACCACAGAATCCCTTGCTCCAATTCCCATTCTGCAACTTCCCATTTGGTGAGCCGAACAGATTGGCGTCTTCAAATCCTTCAATGCCCTTGAACTTTCCTCTTTCACAAACTTCTCATACTCACGGTAACTCACTTTCTTCACATTTATGCTTCTTCCCTTGTTATGGTGGGTCCCTATTTCCTCTGCCCCAGCTGCCGCCAAAATTTTCAAAGCCTTCTCTAGTCCTTTCTGTAGATTCTCTTCGTCCACTTCCTCCATATTGTAGCTGATACAGTTTGGAGATTTGACTGTTCCTGATCCTTTATCTCTTGCCAATACAAATACATGGGCTGTCCTGGAAAATTTGCGCATTCTTTGCTTTATATTTGTCCCAGAGAGCCATGGCATTAAGATTGAGAAGAGTCCTGGGTGCAATGCTGGTGTCTGAATTACTGCTCCTCCACTTCCAGGTTCTTGATCTGGTTCTGATCTAATGTTGCACATGGCTGTCATTATCCCACCTTCATAGCTTTTTTTGTGTTCCTCTGGCCATGGTTTATCTGTAATGGAAGAATGATTTAATGAATTTGTTTAACATTTTGGTAGGTCTCACTTATTAGACATTAGGGACCCATTAGACTCAAACATGAAAGTTTAAGGACAAAATTTGTAATTTCACTTAAGAAGTATGTTTTTCAGAAGACTTGCCAAAACACTGTTGGGAGAGGAGTCCCATACTGACTAATTAATGGGTTGATCGTGAGTTTATAAGTAATTGGTATGAGGCCTTTTGGGGAAGCCTAAAGTAAAGCTACGAGAGTTTATGCTTAGAGTGGACAATATCATACTATTGTGGAGAGTCGTTATTCCTAACCAACAAAGCTAATTTTTCTCGGTTTTTACAGTGTAATGTGATATTATAATGCTATTGCTTATGTTGTTTTTTTTTTTTTTGTTGGGTAGAAATATGATAATATCAGCTATCACATACCAGTTTCTGCAGGGAAATGGCCCCACGCCATTGTTACAGGATGAAGATGCAAGTTTTTGCCAATATTTGGATTCCTCAAGCCGCTTCTTAGCAACAATGGAGGAGTACTGAGAGCCCCACATGCTACTATAGTCACCTTGGACTCAACCAAGCACACCTGTTTCACTCCTGAACCACACCCAAACTCGAACGCAATGCCTTTCGCTCTGTTGCGTTCGCTCCCGTCTTTCTTCTCCTTCCTGATATCAATGGCTTCGCAGCCGGGAAGTATCACGCCATTTCCCGACCTCACCAAGTCCACAAGCCATGTCTCTGCAGTGCCCTTCTTTCTCCCATCTTTGCAGCCTAGACAGCACCAGCCACAATAATGATCAGAAGTTGAATTTCTAGGAATATTGATAGCATGGTAACCCAATTCTTCACACCCTTTTCTTAAAACTGCATTGTTAAACCCTTCATTATCAATTTCTGATTGAACTCCCATTTTCTTGCACACAACTTCCATTGCTTCCTTGTATAAATTGCTGCTGAACAGCTCCAATTCATACTTATCTGACCATTCTCTTGTTACATGGCTTGGTGTTTGAATTGAAGCTGACCAATTCACTGTTGAGCCTCCACCAACAGTAGAGCCTGCAAGTACAAGCACATTCATGTTATCAGTTGCTACTAACCCACTTGAAAGGTACATTTCTTCCATGGCTGGTCCTTCAAGGAGTGACAGATTTGTTCTTGCACAATAGCTTCCTTTCTCTAATACAACCACTTTGTACCCTGCATTGGCAAGCACTCCAGCCACCACTCCGCCACCCGACCCAGACCCGACAACCACCGCATCGCACTTGATGATCATTGAAGGGCTGGAAGCTTTGATCATTGGGGATAGAAGAGTGACTGGAAATCCAAACTTTCTAAGTGCTTCTGCTGCTGCTGCTGCTGCTACTTGTTGGTTGTCCAGATGGACAATGCCTTTGAATAGAGGTCCGTAAAGCTCTTCTTCATCTTCCTCAACTTCTCTTGATGCTTCTAACTGCTTGGTTTTGGCTTTGAATTGGGGGTCCGCTCCCGGGTAGTCTATCGCTTGCCATGATATGTTGTTCGTTTTATCATCAACCTGATCCAACCACAAAATAGAAAGACCCATTTTTCTCATCGAGTCGGGTAGAGATCAAAGGTCTCGAAATATAGTTCAATATATCATAAAAAATACCCGACTAATTGATTCTCTCATTAGACCAAATGTAGCTAAAGTTAAGAAGTTGCTACAACTCTAACCCGGTTATTTTCTAATAGTTGGATATATCCATTAAATATTAAATTGAATTGAATTAAAATAAATGAAATAATTGACAAATAGTGAGGTATATTTTTCTTTAAAAAGAAAAAAAAAATCGTTATTAGACTTAATTATAAAAAAAAAAAAAAAAAAAAGGCAAATCTTGATGGGAAGACTTAAATAATTATCCTCGGTATTTCAACATTTATTCGTTTCAGGTTGTCGGTTGTAATAAAATCAAACCTAAGATGCTGATTTCTCCAAACTTTGTATTAAAATAATAATAATAAAAATAATAAATTACAGTACAGGGTATGGTGCAATGTCAGGGGAAACAATAGAACAGTGTAAAATAAATCTGAAATTCAAAAATTTTTAAAAGTTATTTCAACTTTTAACTATTTTAGTTTTTTTTCCTTCAAAATTATCCAATAAGATCTAAAAACTTAGCCATTTTGTTTTCATTTCTAAAAGTTATATTATTTTTTTAAAAAAATATCCCAAATAGATAAACTAAACTACAAGTACTTATTTGAGTTTTTTTTTTTTTAAATTTTTTTAATACAATTTTGTTCGATAACTATTTAATTTTTAAACTAATCGTCTGCCTTTTTATAATAATCTAAAATAAGTTTTGAATTGCTTTAACAGTCTTTTATTTATATATATATATATTTTTTAATTTTTTTTTTTTTTGAGAATAAAGATGAAAATCTGAAAATAGTTATGAATTAAAATCTCAGCTATTTCTCTCTCAATTTTTTCAGAGTGTAGTCAGCTACTGACGTAGTACTGCCACCTGCATTACCTTCTTGTCTCCTTTAAAAAAAAAAAATAATAATTGTGATTTATTTACAAGCCATTTAATAATTATTTCATTTTTGAACAGTAAATTAAATTTCATATTTCTTAAATTTCATATTTAAATATTTAAGCATTAAGAAAGTCATGAATTTATTGAGTCTTGGTCTTAATCTTGTTGGTTGGTTGTTATTATTGAATGGGTGGGAGATTTCATATCTGAGTTAGGTTTAAGTCTAAGTCTCTTTATTTGAATATTTTATTTTATTTTATTTTTTTATAAATAAACAAATAAAAAAAATAAAATAAAAATACCTGTGTGAAGAATGTAAGGAGACAGAAGATCTTGATGGTTCTGAACCACATTCTGAGAAGGAAGAAATAGCTTAGAGACCATGAAACCACAATTTGTTCCCTTTTGGTTTGGGAAAGCTTTGGAAAGGTCTGGAAGTATGGGAAATTGTGGGAAAGGCTTCTATTCCCACAAAGAATGTACGTCCCATACCATGTTGATAGCATCCATAGGCTCACTCTCACCAACCATTTCTTCGGATGCTTCACTCTCTCCTTTATCATCTTCCCTACCTGCATGCATGCTTTTACCCTTTATATCTTTCCATCCAAATATCTTGGGCTATGCTAAAAAATGATTTTGGATGTTCGAGAAACATAGTAGGGTTGTCTTATTTCTTTGTTTAAGATCAAGGGCTGAGCTAAAAAGTGATGTTCGAGAAACATAGTAGGGTTGTCTTATTTCTTTGTTTAAGATCAAGGGCTGAGCTAAAAAGTGATTTTGGATGTTCGAGAAACATCGTGGGTTGTCTTATTTCTTTGTTTAAGATCTAGGGTTGAGCGAACAAGTGATTTTGGATGTTCGAGAAACTACATGGGGTTGTCTTATTTCTTTGTTTAAGATCTAGGGTTGAGCTATCAAGTGATTTTGGATGTTCGAGAACCTACGTGGGGTTGTCTTATTTCTTTGTTTAAGATCAAGGGCTGAGCTAAAAAGTGATTTTGGATCTTCGAAAAATCAGCTGTGATATCACACATTGATTGAAGAGGGGAATAAGTGTCAGCGAGGACACTGGGCCTCGAAAAGCGGTAGATTGTGAGATCTCACATCGGTTGAAGGGAGAACGAAACATTCTTTATAATTGTGTAGAAACCTCTCCCTAGTAGACGCATTTTATAACTTTGAGAGAAGCCCAAAAAGGAAAGTTGAGGGGAACGAAACATTATTTATAAGTGTGTAGAAACCTTTCCTTAGTAGACTCGTTTTAAAACTTTGAGGCCCCACAAGAGAGTCTAAAGAGAGCAATATCTACCAGAGGTGTGCTTGGGCCGTTTACCCTAACAATGGAAAACATAAACTATCTTTTCTTCGAGAAGAAAACAATGATTTAATTAGAAACGAGTTTCACAAAAGTGATTTGGGATGTTTGAGAAATGAGATTTATGCCACCAAGTTTGAAAAACACAATATTTTATTTTATTTTTTTCTTTTTTGAAGTGTATATATAAAAATCATTTTTTTGGACATGTTTATTTACACTAGCATGCATCTTCGTAAAAAATCGGTTTCAAGAAATTGAATGATAAGAGTAGAGATTTATTTACCTTTTCGGGAGTTCCGGCGGCGGCGGCGGAGGTTTCAAAGAACATGGCGGCGGATCCGTCGGCGGTAACCGACGGCAAGAATGTGTCACAGAGAGCGGCGAGAGACTCCATCTCGGCAGCGGAGAGAGAGCAATTGTTGTTTGAGTTTGCATGTTCTAAAATTTCTGCCGGTGCTCCGTCGTGAAGCTCTATGACATAGTGGTCGAGTTTCCGTTTAGCTTCGTCGTCGCCACCACCACCACCGCAACAACTCTCCACTTCCACCTCCACCTCCTCCGCCGCCGCCGCCGCACCGAAATATCCCATTTTTGGGTTTTGTCGCTTTCCAGGGTTGATTGAAACGAGATATTCCTCGTTTGGTTTTCTTTCCTCGTTTGGTTTTCTTTCCTTTGTACTCATAAATAAACAAACCAAAATTTTAAATAAATTAAAAAATGTTTTAAGATTGGACACGTGGCACGATCAGAGCCAGAACCATTGTTTTGACTTTTTGAGCATTGAGGTTTAATCAGTTGACTTATTCGTCCAATTTATTTAATTTTGATTTTTTTTAATAAATATTATGGGACGGACAGACGTAATAATGTGTCCCCTCATATTGTTGGACGCTCTCCGTTCAAATATATCTGTTATTTATTTATTTATTTATTTATTTATTACATTAGGTCAAATAAATCAAATTTTGTCTCTACCTCCACGTTTTATAATTAAAACATATATATTAAAAATTAAATATAAATTATTATTATTTTAAGAGAAAATAGAAAAATTAATAAAATGTTAGATGGTTGCTACTTGCTTGCAAAATAAATGCTATTTATTTATTACGTACATCCACCCTCTTCCCCTATATGAAAATTTTGATTGCTTCTCCAAATTATTTATTATTTATTTTATTATATTTTCATTATGCCAATTTAAAACTCAGACAAAATAAAAACCTATTTTTAAAATTAGAAATCAAAACATTTCGTTGAAATTATATATATATAGTTTATCAGCGGTTGCATCGATCATTTTTTCAAAATTATTGTAGAATTATGCAGATCAAGGACCCAATTAACACATGAAATACTCTATTTCAAGAGACGAGAGTCTATTCAACTGGTGGAGCATGTGATTTAATTTGACCTAGATTTTTATGTATATATATTAAAAGATAATTCGACCCAACGCGCAAAATCTCACTGACCTTTCGTGTGTGTATATATATATATATTAAAAGACAACTCTATTTCTTGAGGATTAGGAGACAAATATTTTTGTCAAAAATAAAATTAAATTGGGCTCAATATTAAAATGAGTAGGTGAGGAAAAAAATGGTAGCAATAAATGAGGAGAATTTAAAATTTATCAATAATGGGAGTCAATTTTTATTATAAGCTTTTAATCTTATATGTATTACTTTTTTAATATTTTAAGATATTTTATTTAGTAAATAAAAATAATAAAAACGCTTTTAAAACGTATCGATTATGGAGAAGTTTTCACATTTTTATAATGAATATTTCGCTCCCCTCTCCAACCGATGTGGGATCTCATACAGGATGACATCTTGAGAATATTTCGTGTTCACTCTTAGAATTGAAGAGTAAGTAACTTGACTGGGAGCCATCAAGTGTCAAATCTAGATTTTGAATCATGATCTGAATCTTGAGCATGAGTCGTTATAAAAACGTTTATAATAAAGACTTTGTAATGGTCTGTGTTGAAATGACGAATTTCAACCCCGTAATAAAATAAATATTTTTGAAGATGTTAAATTTTAATAATAAATTAAAAATAATGATATTATTAATAAAAAGAGATTCCTTCCCATGATATCCTAGGGAAAGATTTTCTTAAAACTTTTTTTTAGCTCCAATCATAGTCTCAAATGAGAAGAAGATAAGCTTTTAAAAACAAATAATAAAATAATAAAAAAATAATAATAAAAAATATATCTCCTAAAAACCCAACCAAAGTTGTAAGACATATTCACGCACGTGCTTAATTATTTTATTATTTTTGTTCCAATGCATCAATTGTAATGCATTGGGTGGCCCACCGTCCTTGCTAGGACTCTTTCCTTCTCCCAATCGATGTGGGACCGTCACCAAATCCACCTCCCTTCGAGACTCCAGCGTCCTTACTAGCACACCGCCTCGTGTCTACCCCCTTCGGAGAAGAGCGAGTACTGGCACACTGCCCTGTGTCTACCTCCCTTTTGGGAAGAGGCACACCGCCTCGTGTCTACCCCCTTTGGAGAAGAGCGAGTACTGGCACACTGCCTTGTGTCTACCCCCCTTCGGGGAAGAGGCACACCGTCTCGTGTGTGTCTACCCCCTTGGAGAAGAGCGAAAAAGCTGGCACATCGTCGATGTCTGGCTCTAATACTATTTGTAACAACTCAAATCTACCGCTAGCAGATATTGTCCTCTTTGGACTTTTCCTTTCGAGCTTCCCCTCAAGGCTTTAA